ATAATAATAATAATAATAATAATAATAATAATAATAATAATAATAATAATAATAATAATAATAATAATAAGGTTAATTTTGACCGGGCTGACACCTACAGCGTGCCGAAACCATTTCTCCTGAAAATCGCTGTAAACCTACTCGACAGCCTTACGTACAATCTTAAGAAGCAACTGGATAAAGCAGTTAAATTTGGCGCGCTGCACGTTCAACACCGACTGAGGAGGATCGAACGATAATCCGGAACCGTTCCATATGGCATTTCTGACGTCGAAGCGCTGTACGATAACAATGTCATTCAATGTTTACCTGATATGGTTTCAGATGTTATGACCAGTTTAGAAATTGTGGGATTGCGCTCGTCCAGTTTACATGTGTTTCGTTGACACAGAAAAAGCCTACGACCGGATGCCACGCAACAATCTGCAGTCATGCCTTCGAGCATGCGAGATACAGATGGCCATCTGCTAAAGGACATCCAATCACCGTATTCTGATAGAAGATGCTGCGTCAGAGTTAATGGCGTTAAGTCGAAACTATTCCACCTTCGCACTGGTCGCCGCCACGGCTGCGTCCTGTCCCCTATCCTGTTTGTGTTGTACATGGATAGAATAGTCAGGAGCTGCCAAGGCCATGAGGGCATCGGTATAGGGGATGTGAAGTCGAGAAGGTCGCTGTTAGCAGACGAGCTTATTTTCTTAGGATCTTCTGAAACTGATCTGCAGTGCTTCCTAGAAAAGGGCGAGTGCGACGTGACCGGCATGCGTGTGAACGCATCTAAAACGAAAAGTCTAGTCCTCCTCCTTTCTTGTTCGTCTGCCCGTTGCTCTCTTCAGATTAACAGAGAGGCAGTGGAGCAGGTGGAGAAGTTCAAGTGCCTCGGAACTATATTTACTAGTGATGGAAAATTGGAGAAAGAGATCAACCGACAAATTGGATTAGCCAGTGGAGTTCTGGGTGAATTAGCTCCACCCACTGTGACTAAACCAGTGCTCAAGTCTGAAAACTAAGCTCTCGGTGTTCAAGTCTATCTTAATCCCCATGTTCACCTACGGTCAAGAATCGTGGACCATCACCGAAAAACTTCAAAGCCGGGTACAAGCTGCTGAAATGGGCTTTCTTAGACGAGTCGCTGGCCTTGGTCCAGAATACTGAAATCCA